AATAGATTATTAGTTAAGTTATCAATTAGATGTATAGCTAGGCAGACAGATATTTATTTCCTTCAGATGGCGGTGCCCAAGATGACAGACAGATCTTACTATTTTGTATCCACGGCAGTTTCATGTGTGCTTAGTCATAAGCCTGGTTTATCCTATTTTCTGTATTCATTTTTTATGCATGGAACTATATATATATTATCTGCCACACATTCCCTCATAAAATGCACAGCTTTTTTACCAGAAAGAACTGCACTGTAAAATTTGGGAAAGTGTGACCCAAAATAGAGCTGTATTCTGATCTCTATTTCCATCTGAGAAGCACAAATTAGGTCAGTTTGGTTAAAAATGCAGATAATAAAATATGAAGAAGTGTCAGCAATGACAACAACATAAAAAAGAGAGACGTCTCAAAAAGGATGAGAGAGAAAAAATGTATGATGCTATTAAATTCAATGATTGTCCAAAAAAGGGGGGGGGGGATTTTTCAAGTGCTAGATACAACTTGCAGGCAAAATGGAGAACGGCCAAAACTTCCAAAGCAGGGAATTCCCTGAATGAGATGGGAGGACTGTCCTAAACCCATTGCAGAATAACTTGGAAGCTATCCAAGATTATCTGGAAAGGTGATCATTGTGCCAAGCCAATACAAGGAATTGGAAAAATGCCTCTACTCATGTGTGTCAGCCATGGGCCCCCCAACACAGTTCCCAGAAGCCTCTAAACCCTGCCAAAAAGTTTTCTTTTCCTCTTTCAAGTGGGAGTAGCAGCAATTGGGGGGGTCCCCCCTTTCCTTTCTCCTTCTCCTTTGATCCACCACATAAAGTAGAAGTGCGCTGGAGAACAAAAGTTTGTGGAAAGATGGGAGATGTATTCTTCCCATGGAATGCAACCTGGACAAGGATATTAGTTTCCAAATGGTTTTCTCACATGTTACTTCACATAAGTACACATTGTTGCTGTTTCAAAATGCAAACCAGCTTCTTATGGGTTTAGTGTGGAACAAACTCTATCTAGGTCATACGAGGGAAACCTCCAGTGCGTGGGCTCAGTCCAGCCATATGGTCAGCAGAACCTCCTTGGATGCCTCCAGGTGAGAAGACCAATCCCCCAAGACCCACTCTAGAAGAACCCTTGTTTCAAACAGAAAAAACTGGGGGGATATGGGCAGCAGAAGGTTCACCGGATGCTACGAAAAGCAGCTGTTGTTCCCAGGGTCTTCTGGGTCCATTTGCATGACAGACACCACTGCTACAGGAACAATGTGTGCTGTGCAAACCCAGAAATTTGGACAGGTGCTGGGATGAGCTGCTGTTCTTCCCAGGGATGCATCCTGCACAACGCTGGAGAACCACCTGAGGCTAAGAAGAATGTCTTATCCTGCTCCCATGCCAGCAACTGCCAAGTCCATGCTTAAGTATCCTGAGGAAGCAACCAAAGGAAGAAACTAGTCCAGTTGAGAGGTCAGGCCATAGAATTTGTCATGCCAATCATCCAGATGAGACACGGGTGTCTAACAGAGTGGTTCAGATGAGTAGCCAAAGATCAAGGAATCTGTTCAGTTTAAAAGATCAAGGCAATCACTGGGTTGAAACAATGTCTGCAACAGAGAACAGGTTCTGGCTGGGCTAATTTATAGCTGGCTGTATACCAGCACAGCTGGTTAATTAGGTCAGCGGGCTGCTTTTAAGGAAGGCCCCACACTGTGCCTTCTGTTTGAACTTCTCAAGCTCATGCTTGATTGTCCTCCTTTCTAAGGAGCAAATCCCTTCCAGCTCTGCCTCCTGTCCTTGGGAAAGCTCAGGAATACCCAGGAGGATCATGATGAAAGGGCACTAGATTGGAGAAGCCCACCTTTGACCTACATTGGATTCTGGAAGCTCTGCCACTCCACAAAGGTTGCATTTTCACAGTTTGGCTATTTTGGTATGCATGCCATGCTTTCATCTGAACCAACATTCAACCTGAGAGGACTCTGGTTTGTGCCCCAGCATTTTGACTGTACAGGAATGCTGAATTCAGTATTATACATTCAAAATGTAGAAATTACAATAGTATCTGGTACTACTACTTGCACTATATGGATGATTGATTGATTGAAGGTTTTTATAACATGTTCAATTAGCTCTCAGAATGGATTACAAATAAGTACAAATATAGTACATGTCAAAGTAAATACAATCCTATGGTTAGATATCATATTGTTGCTGCCTTTATGGCAAGCTGCTTCACATATGCCAAAAACTATTTTTAATAAATGACATGAGATATTATTCACAACTGACTGAAAGGCTGCTGTAAGTTGTCATTGTTCCCAGCACGGCCACTGGAGTAGCTACATTGTTAGAAAGGTTCATCTTGCAACTTACTCTGGTCAGCAGGAAGAAATGTCCAACTTCTACCATCTTTGATGTTTTCTTGGTATTTAGCATTGTACCACATTCTTCTATGAGCAATGTTTATTTTTCTTGGGAGATCATGTGAATTTACTTACATTCAGGCATCAGTGTATGCTTGCCAAAAGGAAAAAGAAATTCCTTGCGATTGAATTGCATTACTGTATTTTCCTGAACTAACACACTGAAATACCATGATCCTCTGTGAAAGGGGGCAACCTTGCAGCATTCTAAGCTAGTGATTTCAGACTCTGGACCTGACGTTGGAGAGGAGGGCAGGTCAGAATGCTTAGTTGAAATGCTAAGGCTAATGAGCTCTGAGATTAGCCAAGTGAGAGCCAGGTCACCACTGGTTTGGGCGGTGACTCGGTTGCATAAGAAGGGTCAGAGGGAAAGGGGTGTGAAATTTCCAGTCCAGTATTTCATCATCAAGTAACATCCAGGGCTCCCTCCATCTGGCCCGCAAGCAGTGCAAACCACCTTGAGGATGGAGTCAGCTTAGTTTGGAGGGGAAGGGAAGAAGGGAATTCAATTTGGAATCAGCTTCTGGCAATGGGAAAGAATTCGCTCAGTAATTAGAGGGCTCATTAACTCGATGGCTGCTTCCTGCTAACAAGTTTTATATTGTTCACTCTGTATCACGACAGCCTAGCTCAAAGAAGGCCTGTAGTTAGAATCCTCCTTCCTGAATCTGCTGTAAGGGGAAAAACAAGAAATGTCTGCACAATATGCCTTGTGGAGTAGGTGCCCTAAGATGTGAGTGGCATGTCACTGCATGACAAGTGGTCTTTCTGCTTGACATCTGCATGTCAAGATGAGGAGGCCTTTACCTGGAGGAGGCTTTTACCTGAAGGCTCTACATTAGCTGGAAATTTTGCAGCATGCAGATATCGGAGGAGGTGCTGTGTGACAGATATATCAGAATGGGCCTTGGTAGTAAGGCTCAGCTCAAATGTTAAGGTAAGCACTAGTTATAATGCCTGCACAGGGCTTTCATGACAATGTGTTTCTCTCATGGAATATACTGCAATGATTCCATCCAGACACACACACACATTTTTACTCCAGTGAGCAGACATACTTGCTTTTAAAATAGTACTATTAGTACTAAAGATAATTATGTTGATAATGATAATACCAAAACTATCATTTGGGTATACATCTTTAGCCCTTATTGCTCATTCTTATTGTTAAAACTGAAGATAAATTATGTAACCCCTGATCTCACGCAGTTATCCATACAGCACAATGCAAATTAGCAAGAGTTGAAGATCTCGTGCCTTTTCATTTCCAATCAACAACAAGGCAAATAACATAAAGCCACTGTTTACGCTGTTGGATATAGATGCATGATATGGCCACACAGCGTCTATTTTTATTCTACTTCCCATTTCAGGGATATCTAAAAGGGGAAAATGGATGATGTAGTAATTGTGGGAGACAAACAGGAAATGCTGCAGCAACTCCAATCCAATCTAAAATACTGTAGCATAAAGGATAGTAAATACATCGATGGCAAGGAAGAACTCATGAGAGTGGGAAATAGGTTCAGTGACCTTTCTGTGCAAAGAGATTCTACAGGCAGAGTTAAATCCGTTTTCCCTTTATCTTCCACCTCTC